AATTGGCGTCAGTCGTCCGTTGTGGTCGTCCGTTAAATTTTACAAAAATCTTCTCCTCTGAAACTATTGGGCTAAATTTAATCAGACTTGTCCACAATCACCATTGGATATAGAGTGTTATAAATTGTGTGCAATGACCACCCCCTTTTTCCCAACCAACATGTCCGACAAGGCTAAAAATAGAACTTACGGGGTAAAATGCAAGTTTTTTTCTATTATCTTGAAAACTGCTAAAGATAGAGAAAATCTGACAGGGGCAGGAGTTTTCAAAATGTTGAGATTTCCCTACCATCTACTTACGTCAAAACTGTCAGACGAGCTTGTGTTGGAGTTTTTGCCCTTAAATGACATAATTTATGCCTATTATTTTAATCTCTGCAATAGATAGATACTTTACAATACAAAATTCGTAAGGGGTTCCTCGGATTCTTGTGTCTCGCCCTTGATTGCAGCTGTCAGTGTTAAGGTATAATGTTGACCTAAAAAGTGTCTCCATTTATCAGTAAATACTAAATTGAAAAAAATCATTTTTTTTAATGCTATTTCTTAATCTTGAAGATAAGCGTCTGTCCAAGTTTCATAACAATCCATGAAGGTTTACAAATTTATCATGTCAAAAAAAATCAATCCCAGATTGTCTGTAAATGTAAACTGCAAAAAACTAAGTCCATTTTTCAGAAAAATATTTTTTTCAAAAGTTTGCTTCAGACATTATCTCTCAATCATAAAAAGGCTTCTGCCAAAGTTTTATAAAATTGTATAAAGGTTTGCCAAAGTAATTGATGTGGAACAAATTGTAACCCCAGAATGTAACTACTTGTTAACTGTAAAAAGATCTATGTCCATTTATCAGTAAAATACGTAAAGTGAAAATAAATATTTAATTAATGAAGATTTTCTACAATTTTTTGCATTTTTGCCAAGTATCTTAAAAACGACAATCTACAGATAGAAACTTTAAAAAGCAAGAAAAAATAGATTTACAATTATTACGTAGAAAGAAACAGTTAAATACATGAGATGAGTTTAATTTTGACGAGTTAACTCTAGTAAAAATATGACAGCACAAATTATTTTAGAAGCCTGTTTTTATAAATAGATTTCTTTGTAATATCCCCTTGGTTATATAAAAATCAATGTTATGGTGACTGTAATTTGTTAGTTATCTACACCTTGTTAGATTATTGCTCTTTTAAAAAAAAAAAAACACTTTAAAACAACATGGATATACAGATTGATTTTTGAATTTTTTCAGAAATTGCAAATTTTGACATTTTTCAACATCTCATAGAAAAAAATCACAATCAGTTTTTTGGTCTAAACATTCACTTATTACACCTTGGTATGCTTTGTTTTATATTTTACTTTATGAAAAGAAAAGAAATATCGAAACACTTATAATGTATCAAGAGCAGAATGCTTAATTTGATGAAAAAGTAGATACTTTTTAAAGATTTTAGAAAATGCATTTTTTACTGAATTATCTCCCTTTGTACAATAGAAAATCAATATTTATGGCTTCATTTATTTTAATTGTATTATCTTCATTGTTAGTTTAACTAACATTGTTAAGTATAATAATGGTTTTTACGGAAGCGTCAACTTTTATCTTGGGATTATCAACTTTAATCTTGGAATTATCATCTTTAATCTTTGAATTATCAGCATTAATCTTGGAATTATCAACTTTAATCTTGGAATTATCAACTTTAATCTTAGAATTTCCAACTTAAATCTTGGAATTATCAACATTAAACTTGGAAATTCCAACTTTAATCTTGGAATTATCAACTTTAATCTTTAAAATGACTGATATTTTACTTCTAGTCCATAGTTTGTTGTGTTTCTCCTTATACTTAATCTAATTATAATTATTTTTTCTCGGATATAATTTTTGTAAAATGTTACAGAAAAATAGACGTGTATCTAAAGTCTTGTATAGTTTCACGTAGCCTAATATCCATGAAAAAGAGGGGGCAGCGGGTTGGGGGGGGGGGTAGGGGGGGGGGGGGTAGGGGCTGTAACTTCCCAATAATGGGTATACGTGGATATGCCAAACATATTGGCCATAATTTTGCGAGATTTTATATTTATGACGCTACTTTTTAATGACATTCTATATTGATATACATAGTTCTTTCATAATTTTATATTGATTTGGGGTATGTTCTACATATTTTTTATAAATAATGTTATGGAAATCTTATATTAATGGCCAATTGTGGTATGTGAATCAATCAGGGACTTCATATTTACATTAACATATTGTACACAAGTAAAAGTCATTCTTTGTATATATTTTATTACATATATGTGACTAGCCATGACATATCGAGGCTTATGGAGGTAGAACGTCATTGTGAGAAAAACGTGGTTAACTATATGTGACTAGCCACTTCCAGGCTAAGGAGGGTACATTGTCTAAAATTTGCTTTTTGTATATTTATCTAGAATATTCGAAACAAAACTCTCTGTCATGTTATTATGACATATTTTTTGTAATAGCAATGAAACGAGTCATTTCGAATACCGGTATGAAAATGAGACTGTTTCTATGACGACTTTTATTATAAAATACAAAATCATTGTATTTATTGGCGCTTAGTAATGTTCAATAGCGTATTTGAATAAAATTCAAAGAATTAAATTTACTACAATACAAACAATTCTTAGCTCTATTTTAGAACATGTAATTTAAACTTGTTGAAATGAAGTTAGTTTAAAAATTTGTCAAAGTAAGCCATAAGAAGTCCTTTTTTCAAATTGTCTTTTAATTTAGATTTATCATGCATGTCTCTACACATAGTCTGCGACGATTAACAGTTTATAAGTAGGTGTTCTCATATATGATTTGATACGGTGCATTTATTATGGATATATTTCAGACTCCATTTATGAATGAAAATCTATAGAGCAGAGAATTTTGATTTTTTTGTAGCTCTATTTTAGAACATGTAATTTAAACTTGTTGAAATGAAGTTAGTTTAAAATTTGTCAAAGTAAGCTTTAAGAATTCCTTTCTTTAAATTTGTCTTTTAATTTAGATTTATTATGCATGTCTCTATACATAGTATGCGACGTGTAACAGTTTATGTTCAAGTAGGTGTTCTCTTATATGCATTTGATACGGTGCATTTATTATGGATAATTTTCAGACTCCATTTATGAAAGAAAATCTATAGAGCAGAGAATGTTTTATTTTTGTTTTGTATCAGTTTAAAATGACGATTCAAATATTTTTCACTTCAAACGATAAAGTAAAACTTCTTCAAAACTTATATATGATGTATAGTTCGGCGTCTGCAAAAAAGAAGCCAAGGAAAGTGTTTATCTCTTCTTCACAAATACGTATTTCATTGAATCTCGATATTTATCATGCTTATAATTTTTCTAACAATGACGTTCTACCTCCATAAGCCTGGAAATGTCATGGCGGGTCACAATTTTTATACATAAATAAAGGTACCAAATATTAATCAATATTATATAAAAATAGGTACATTGTTTTAGACAAACATAGCACACCACTACCAAAAAAAAATCAACTTTAATCTTGGAATTACCAACTTTAATCTTGGAATTATCAACTGTAATCTTGGAATTATCAACATTAAAGTTGGAATTTCTAAGTTTAATGTTGATAATTCCAAGATTAAAGTTGACAATTCCAAGATTAAAGTTGATAATTCCAAGATTTAAGCTGGAAATTCCAATATTAAAGTTGATAATTCCAAGATTAAACTCGACAATTTGAAAAAAATAAATAAAAAAGGATGGCCCTAATAGCGCTTCCGTAGGTTTTAAAAAAGTAAAACTTATATATTTCCAAAATTATCTACAGGTTGATATTTAAAATTCATTGATTCTGTAAGAGAAATTGTAAATTTGGACATTATTAAAGGAGAATTCTAAAAAGTACTAAAACAAGAGTCAACCAATCGTATATGCTAAAATGCGTTCTTAACTCTGTCACTTAAAATAGCCAAATAGAGATATGTTTATATTTTAATGGACAGAGAGCTGGTAAGTTTAAAAAAATGTGATTTTAAGATTTTTAAAAATGCATTTTTACTGGATTATCTCCTTTTGTACCATAGAAAGTCAATATTTATGGAATCATAAATTGTAATTGAACTATGGTCATCGTTACTTTGACTTATTTTGTTTAATGTTATAGTGCTTTTGAAAAAGAAACACTTACATTTCTAAAATTATCTACAGAATACCTTTCTTAAATTCAGTGATTTATTGAGAGAAAATGTAAATCTAGGCATTTTTAGAGTAGAATTTTAGAATGTACTACAATGAGACCCCAGCAAGTTTACTAGCTAAAATGCATAATTAAGTATTCCAATTGATAAAACATAGGGAGTTATCTTTATGTTTTTAGTGGACCAAATGCTAGATAATTTTAAAAATACGTACTTTTTATGATTTTCTGAAAATATTTTTTTTACTGGATTATCTCCCTGGTAATAATCCACAAACTGTTTCTCGTAAATTTAAGTGCTGATGAGTTAATAAAGCTTCAACACTTTATTATTCAATAAATCATCGTTCTTTATCTCGTTATTTTCTGCATTCATAAGTTTCAGGGTGTTATTAATTGATCATTTTCATAGAAAAATACTGCCTCCAACATGGGGAAACTGGTTCCCGGTACATTACAGCATCACCTAACTGAAAGGAATGGGAACCAGCTGAAATATTTGTTTTATGAACTTCTTTTATAATGTTGTGTAAGCACACAAAGTTTCAATTAAATCTGATGACCACCCTTGTGGACTGTTTTGTATGGTTTTATGCTAGACTAAGTGTTAGACATATATGTTTTTGGTTCGTTTCTGATATTGGTTAATTTTAGAAGGTGTTTTAATACAATGTTTGCTGTAACTCTTCATGTGTAAGATTAATTTAGTTAAGCCTTGTTTGTTTCTTCCTATGCGAAATTTTATTTTGTAACTCAACTTAATGACAAATACTATGTTTTGTTTTCTTAGGTAATAGCTGCTGCTTTTATCCCAATTTTGATTGTGAAAATAGTTAGTATAGATAGTGCTGAAGGGAAAAAAGAGCATGCCAAACTAGTTAGTAAAGACAGTGCTGAAGAGAAGAAAGAGCAAGCCAAACTAGTTAGTATAGTCAGTGCTGAAGAGAAGAAAGAGCAAGTCGAACTCCCTATTCGCAAATGGCCGATATGGATGACAAAAATATATTACTTTTACCATTCACCATCAATCAAATTTCTTTTTTCCGTTGTAAGTTAAACATACTAGTTTTCTGTCAATTGCCATAAAGTTTAGTCAATACTAAGCAAACATAACTGTAAAAATCCATTACACATGTAACTGAAAGAAAATGCACGGCTTGCTTCAATGAGAATGACATAAAACATTACAAAACCAATCAACATTCATAACATAAGAGTGAGGAGAAGTGGTATGATCGACAACACGATAAATATCCACAATTGTTCAATCATAAGAAATGGTAGCAATTAAATACAACCGTACGGCCTTCAACAATAAGAAATACCCATAACCTATAGTCTCCTTTAAAAGGCATAGACACGAAAAATGTGAAATGATTCAAATGGGGAAATTAACGGCATAATTTATAACTTGTGTACAAAAAGCATTTATGACAGACGTGAACCTATCACATCTACTGAAATACAGGTTCATGATTTGAGACAGGCTGATACAGAACGTGACGTAATTAAACATGTATGTAGATAAATCTTGTCCTGTAATCTATTCCTATTACCATGATCATACACTTATCCATTTAATACCAAATAGCTAAAAAAAAGTATGCTAAATTTGATTTGAAATCGGACATGAATTTATAAGAGGATATGCGAAGGATAAATGATTTCTCTCGTTTGCTTTATACATTATTTCTAGAGACGCATTCATATTATAAAACACGTCTTTTTACACTAAATTTGGTAAATGTTTTGTATTATACATTAACACCAACTGCAAAAAAGCTTCACAGTCTTTTACAATTAATCATCTTTTTTCATCTTAAATAGGTAACTTATATGGCAATGCTAGTGGTATTTTCCTTGTTTATACTAACGGATTTGTATCCAATATCTGAGAAAAGTCCATCTGTTAAGGAGTATATCATTTATACATGGGCAGCATCAACATTGACAGAGGAGATTAGACAAGTAATGTATTAAAAACAAACTATTTTTAATTTAAAAAATGAAAATAACGCTTTATAATCATGATAATAAGATGTGACAGTGTACGTTTCTGGATTTACCCTCACTAATAAGTTCAGGCTAATCAAATAAAAACAACAATTCTATCTAAAAAATTACTATGGTCTGAAAACTGTTTATATTAAACTAGGCTAAGTTTATTTCAATTTTCTATTGAAGTTTGCAATCATTAAATACGTGTATGAGTTTAGGGGAAACAACCAACCAGCAGATCGTTATCCGACTTAATCAAATAGTGAAATAGTGAAACTAAATATGTCTAAATATATGTGAATCAATTTGGAGCTGCAGCAAAACATTGTAAAAATAATTAAACCCTTTAACATATAAGAGAGGGGCGAAAGATACCAGAGGGACAGTCAAACTCGTAGATCGATAATAAACTGACAACGCCATGGCTAAAAAATAAAAAGACTAACAGACAAATAATAGTACACAAGACACAACATAGAAAACTAAAGACTAAGCAACACGAATCCCACCAAAAATTGGGGTGATCTCAGGTGCTCTGGAATGTTAAGCAGATCCTGCTCCACAAATGGCACCCGTCGTGTTGCTCATGTTATTACAAACCCGGTAAATAGTCTAATTCGGTAGGTCATATTCGTGGTGAAAAGGGAAGTTGATTGTAGTTACGACATAAAAACATATCCGATATCATCTGTGAGACGGTTATTCCATAACGGTCAAGCAACTCGTGATGGCGTCCGTAAAATTTACGAAGTGATGATTTCAACTTCACCATTTGGAACTCTTGGTTTGATAGCTTCCTTGTGAGCAGCAACCCTCTTTCAAGGAAATCATGATAGGAAATACAAGCCCGGGAATATCGTATCAATTGGGAGATATATACTCCGTATGCCGGCGCTGCTGGAATGTTGCTACATAGAAATGGAAAGTTCACAATTGGGAAGCTGTAATCATCCCTTTTTCGTAAAGTTTTGTTTTCAACCGACCCTCATTGTCAATTTCTAGATGTAAGTCAAGATATGAGGCAGACTTAACTGTATCTGTTGTATCCTTTATCTATATAGCTCGATGGGATAGATGCGTTCAACATAGTCACCAAATTTTGAATCATTTAGTGAGAGAACATCATCTTTATAGCGGAAATGAAAGCTAAAGGATATTGCTAACTTCTTATCTTTCTTCCTAAGAAGTCCCTGTATGAAGTCAGTCTCATAATAATATAGGAACAAGTCGACAAGAAGAGGGGCACAATTGGTTCCCATTGGAATGCCGACATTCTGTTGAAAAACACGTCCTCCAAACGTAACAAATATGTTGTGAATCAAGAAATCAAGCATCTTGATAATGTCAGTTTCAGAGAATATTTTGTTTGAATTAGAGTGATTCTTTACAAAGTAGGATTTATCCCTCCCCAAGACAAGTTACTTGTATCTTCGTTCGCCATTCTTTTTTATGAAACAAAGCAAAACCAACTCTTTCCTATAAACGACATAACAAACTAAATGTAAATGAGATTATATTCAAATGATCATATAAATATATACTTTATATTGTTTTTGTTCACGCATCGTTGTCAACATGATGGAATTTGATACGACTGTCATACAAGTGAGAGGTTTAGCTAGCTATAAAACCAGGTTCAATCCACCATTTTTTACATGAGAAATTGCCTGTACCAATTCAGGAGGTCAGGAGTATGACAGTTGTTATCCATTCGTTTGATGTGTTTGAGCTTTTGATTTTGCCATTTGATTAGGGACATTCCGTTTTGAATTTTCCTCGGAGTTCAGTATTTTTGTGATTTTACTTTTTACATACAACTATTGTAGCAACACTGACTCTTCTATGCTTTGTGATAAATTGTCTTTATTTGTTACGCACGTATGTATAGTCGTATACATATTGATCTTTGTAAATTAGTTTTGAATGTGTATTTCAAAATGAAGTGCAAATACACTTATATTTGCTTTATTCCAACAAACACCTAATGTATTCAAGCTATGATATACATGTCAATGTCTGTTCTTGAAGTCACTTGGATGATTCACATCTTTAATAACCAATATGGTAAAAGAAACAGATTTTTCTTATTTTTGAATAGAACTTGTAATTGTATATTTTCAACAGAAAATAACTGTGCTTACACTTTTACTTTTGAACACATGTAAAATCATTAATACGAAATATACAGTTTGGCAATTTCATCCTTTTTGCAGTAGTTAAAAACATTAATACTGCGTATATACATTATATACAATGATAAAAGTAAAACTTGTAAATACACACATTGAGGTTCAAATATAAGATACTAATACATAATGTGTGCCTCCTAATGAGACAAAGTATACGTCAATTTATAGATAAAAGTCGTTCAATAAAAACCGGGAATAGTGATTAGATTAATAAGACTGACAAGAAGACTATTCAGAATAACTGTGAAGGCCAACACAAGTGTAATCTAATTGTTATCAGAACGGAGGTTTTCCTATGTTTAATGAACATGATAGATGTAACAAACAAAGTAATTACTCACCAACTATTGTATTAAAAAACATTTACATATCTGTATATTTAATTGTCAGGGCCTACAGCACAGCACACTGATAAAAGAAAACGGTTGATTGAATGGTCAAAATTCCCAAAATATTACATCTTTCTTATCCGAGAAACAACAGTCGCATAAAGAAACAAGATGTGGTCTATGTATTGTTATGCGATTGTCATACAAGTGTAGCTAGCTTTAAAACCAGGTTAGATCCACCATTTTCGAGATAAGAAAATGCTTGTACCAAGTCAGGAATATGACAGTTGTTTTCCATTCCTTTGTGTTAGAGATTTCAATGTTGCTATTTGAGAAGGGACTTTCCGATTTTAATTTCCTTCGGTATTTAAGTTATTTTACTTATTTCGTTAAACATGTATTAGATACAATACAAAGGTAACAAAGAAACAGGCCGGTAACAACATTTGCCGGATAGTTTTTCTGCACGAGTAGTCAGGTCAAGGTCCGAGGCGATAGCCGAGGACCTTGACCTGACTACAAGTGCAGACAAACTATACGGCAGGTTGTTTCCGGCCTGTTTTTTGTTACCTTTGTTTTGTATCTGACTTGTACGACGTTTCAAGAAGGAAGAAGTACATTTTGCATCCAGAAGAGGTAGCAAAACTAAAGATATTAGAAACTTAAATGGCCATATACCAGTTAATGTAAGTTACAGTTTAAACTCAATTTTTTTTCTCACTTCCCTTCAACCGAGAGTTTTTTCTCAAAAAATTCAAGAATCTAATAACTTTATTAAAAAGAACCATTTCAAGTTAAAGGTGAATTTTATACACATTTGAGACTTTTTAAAATGCAACTTCGCAAGTAAGTAATGTATAAAAAAAGATTTCAGAGGTAAGCAAGCTACTATTTGATTTTTATAGGGGGAAAAGGGGGAGTTAAATAAATTTAAAATAAACAGGCTTCATCCTTTTTTTGTTGAAAGAATGCAGGCTGTGCCATTCCAGCCTCCCCCCCCCCTCATTCCCCCTAAAAAAATCGTAAAAATCGTACGCCGCCAAATATATGAATTCAATATATATGAATTCAATAACAATATAAGTGTATCAAAAGAATGAATTTCCTATCTCATTAGTGAATGAAATGTTATGAAAAAATGGATTTTGTCTTGTTATTATAGATATATATAGGCATATATTTTAGATGAAAAAATGTTCATGCTTATAGGTTTTTATATGTCTCTGATAGTGTTGATCAGGATTAAACACGTGTCATTATATGATCCAATCAGAGCTTACCGTCCAAAGTTGATGACATAAGTTGAATGATTTTCTTCAAGATTTGCTACCTATTTATAAGATCAATCGTGCATTGGTGAGTTGATAGGGATTTTATCTTTTGATTAGATTTGATTTCTTTTATAAATATTTCCTGTCTTTTTTTATTGAAATATAAACGTTGGTACCAGTATTTCTTTCAGCATTGTCCAGAATACAATTCATGTCCATATATTGAAAAAAAAAAATTTACGGACCGACCATTTAGCTTCAAAAGGGGGTGTGTTCTTTTCTGAGTAAGAAAATTATTTAGTTTTTCAACTATATAATATATTATATATTTTTCTCATAAAATTGGGGATCAAAATGTTTTTTTTATGAAAAAAACCATAACCCACCTTTTGAAGTTAAATGGTCAATCCCTTAGTGTACTAATATGAAAAGTAACTGGAGTTGTTCGAAGAAAAATATAGTTATTGATGCTAACGTAAATATTTTAATTAAAAAGACAGGAAATATGTCGGTGAAACAAAAAGTTCAAATCTAATTGAAATTTAAAGTGCCCATGAACTCACTGATCATGCACGAGTGATTCTATTCATAAAAAGTGTCCGTGTAACAACTAAAAAGTGTCCGTGCATCATCTAAAAAGTGTCCGTGTAACACCCGTTAATGTACTGTTTTTCTATAGCTCTGCTGGGGGCAAAGTCGTACAACAATTCAAGCAGACGTTTAAAAAAGGAAGGGGATACTGGAAACTAAACAGTAATTTACTACAAAATGATGACTATCTTCAAATAATTTTGAAAATTATATAGATAAAGCAAGATTGAAATATCTTTTTGGTCAGTATGTATGAACTTTGGTAGCCGTTTTTTTTATCTGTGTGCCCAGGCCTATGCTTGTAATTTTGCATCATACTTTTAAAGATTATGTGTAGAACCTGGTTTAATGGCCAGCCAATCTTACCGCTTATATGGCAATGTTTAAAATATTAGGCATATCGCTAAAACGACAACATTCCTGTCACAGGAATACTGTAAAATAAACAAAAGAACACTCAGGACAGAGAAATACATAACTGAATAATATTACATTACATTACAACATGCAAACCTCAGAATAACAACGAACACCTCAAATTAATTTACGAAAGTACACAAGTATAGTCACACAAATGTATCATCGTCACA